AGCAAAAATAAAAATGAAACATTAAAAGGTAGCGCATGTGTTGCGGCAAGCGGTGCCACCATCACCGGCAACAACTTAAAACAATGGCCAAAGCAATTCTTGCAACAAATGGCTACAGTCACTGCAGCGCAACTCGAATTCACTCTGCGACTTCTGTCTGCCGATTGACTTTTGCAAACGTATGTATATGTCTCTGCGGCAGGCGGGCACTATGCCGTAATTGCGCCTTACATTCCCAAAATAACGGCATTTATTGCATGAGCGACAGCAGCAAGAGGCTCAATGGCCAACAGCAGCAAGTTGCAGTTGCGATACGTCAAGTGGACCTCAAAACTGTTTTTGGTGGCATTAGAGCAAACACTTTTGTGGGCAGCATGCCGTTATGAACTGCTCATATAAAGATATGAAATAGCAAAAATGTGGCACAAGTATGAGTAAGGTTGCAGAAAAACACTTTGATACTTGATAACTAATTAAAGCCCTTAAACTCGTGTTTATTGGGCATTCTTAGGGTTTGGTAATAAGCCTTGCAAGTATAGCTCGCGTATATTATCATAAAAAAATTAAATGCAACTGTAAACCCCACATAGCTGCGGCTCCTAAACTCAAAAACTAAAACACGTGTTTATTTGTTGTTTGTTGCTTGGTGTTTAGTAATGAGCGCTACTAATAAACATGGAGTTTATCATGCGAAAACTGTTCTTTAAATGCGTCCTAAGCACCGATTCGGTTTCTCACAAACCCAAAATGTTAAACTCGAGTTTGCGGCTCAATGTAGTTAATTGAATCGATGACTCAAGTGAATGTGAAATTTCTGCTAATCGAGCTGCTAATATTTGCTGCATAGTAAAGTCAAAGGTATCTAAAGGTATATACTTATATATGTACATAGGTATGTATATCTCTATAATAAATAAGTAAAGCTATAAAATCGGCATAAATTCTCACTTGAAATGGTTCAGATCCTGCTCAACACTCGCAGAAGATGCGAAGAAGTTACGAAAATGTGCTTCGATAAACAGACAACTACACACACACACTCACACATTGACTGACAGTACCACAAATACACTCAATGCGCAGTTGCCGTCAATGTGCCACTAAAAAAACAAGCACAAATGAAAATATTGTCGACATTAAGCCATAACTATCGTCAGCTCTAGCGGTACCTTAGTGACCACAATAATGCAGCCAATGTCCCTGTGCGAAGACAAACGCTGCGGGCCACGAAACGGTTGTGGTAAAATCGCCAAGCTGCTAAGCGCGATGAGTTTGGTGGCGGCTCCAAGCTAACTTCTACAGCAGGACAACTTCCATGCTGCAACAACAACAGCATCCTTCGTTTTTGTAATATGTTCAGCAACATCTCACGACGCAAGTAATGACGAAGCCATCGACAACGAAGCAAATACGCTGCGGCATGCACGAAATGCCCGTAAATTAGCGACGGGGAAGTGTGTTCGAGTGCTAAAAGAGTCAACAGTAAAACTTGGTAGCGAAACATAAAATTTTATTACCACCAGCTAGAGTAGGAACCCGGCTCAGCCGGTGAACGGCGTTGATAAAGTCAGCTTGAAGTACGAAAGAGCGACACACACACATGTATTTTTTTATATGGAGTTTAACGCCCAAGAAGTGTTTAACTAGCAACCCGCCTCTTAGTTTGACATTCTCCTGGCCAATGCTGGGTTGCACGGCCCAGGTGCTTAAAAGAGAAAAAATCTATAGATTATAAGAGCCGCAAAGCAGTGGAGTGGTTTTGCCTGTGCGTTGTAATTTTTGAAATCTACGACGTGTGCTGCCTGCTTTTAGGTAGATAATTTAGTGAAGCTTTTAAGCTCTAACAAAACAACAATTAAATTAGTGATAAATAAGGCGTTTTCTTGACATGCCACTCACTTAGTACCTGCCCATAAAATAAAATAAAAAAAAAAATCACAGTCGACAACCAGTCACTCTTATCTCTTCAATAAATTCCGTTAGATAACTCAATTGAGACATCAAGAAGAAAACATTTGCGATCCACTTAACGGTAAGAAAGTTTCCATTCTACTCTAGGACTTTCATTCCGTTATAATGATACTATCAGATCATTACATAAACTTAAATAACGAAAGCCTAAATGAAATTAAAGATTTTTTTGTGAACATTTTAAATATTGTTTCATTGTATTTCACCCTAACGCAGTAGTCATTCATTGAAACTGAATCAAACTCCAACCTCGTTTTAATAAATAATGCAATCAGCCACTACAAATAGCATTACTTCGAAGAAAGGCAAGAAAAGCTTGCGAAAGCTTAATGGCAAGTAATATTACGAACCTTTTCTAATTCATAACTAATTGTTTTCTCTGACTCATTGAGTTGCATTTAAAAATAAACCGTCTGCTCCGAAACATCACAACAACAACATGCGCTGCCACCTCCCATCACGTGCGCTGACGTACCATTGCGCGCCTCCCATTCCCATACATGGCGCGCCGCCACATCCGCCTGTACCACTCTCAACCACAAACAGCGCAAACAACCGCGACGCGTTGCGCACAATCATCTGCTCAAGCAAACATATTTTGTCACTGGCATGACCAACAACTCGTCATGCCTTGCGCAGCCCACTAACCCCACCCAACAGCGGCGCACCGCAAACACTGGCACACAATCATACATGCGTACTCACACACACACACTCCAAACATTCACCTACGCACTCCTTCAACGCAAATGGCTTTCCGCTCAGCCGCTTTGAGGTTTGTATGCCGCGGCGATAATTATTTTTAGTGCCCAAAATGACTCAAAACAAAATTATTGCGCAAGGTCAGTGAGCGCCTTGAAAAGTAGCGGGGGTGCACATACCAGCCTACGTCTTACGAAAGAAACAAAGTGAAATACTTTAACCAAACAATTGCGTTGTATTATGCAGTCATGACTTCGGCTGTGTGTGCACATACTTGTATATGTGGTTGTGCGTTTCGGCTGGCTTTAACCGGAGTGAAATTCGCAATGAAACGAATTTAAAAAGAAAAACGTTAAATACAATATAATTATTGTGGTAGTTATTATCATTTTTTTTTTTTGTTTTTTTTTTTTTTTTGGAGTTGGTGAATGTTTGTTGGTTTGTTGGTTAGCGTTGCTGTCATAACAAATGTAGCGTCGAGGTAGTCATGTCTAACTTTCAATTATTTTTTGAGAGCTTTGGCTAGTCCCTCTCAACAAAATATTTGATTTTGTATGTACAAAAATCCCTCTTCTCAAATACTTCAAGATATATTGGTAAAGTCTGCTGGCTACTTCATGGTCCGCATACTTCATTGCATCAAAGCCCACTCGCTAGCCCAAAGTTAGTGAGCAGAAAAATGGCGAAACAAAGGTTCTTTTATTGCGCCTAAAAATAAAACAAAATCGCATATGTTACACCATTTATTACTAATTCTTATGTGAAAAATCTTTTCACTTTATAAGTTTTTTTTTACGAATTTTTTTCACATATTATCCAAGATGTCAAACAATCCCCGAAGAACCTCTTCAGATCGGGTACAATTCTTGTATGGAAATTACTTCATTTAAAAAGTTATTTTTATAAAACTAAAGTTAGAGATATTTTTGTACCCTTTGTGCTATAAGAGTGCACCTATGAAGAGTAATATGGCTTCGTTGCAATCGAAGCTAACGATTTTGCTTGTTTAAAAATTAACTCAACCACCATAAATAATAAAAATAAAACTACGAAGCAACAAGCAATCGATCTTTTGAGCGATTTTTCTCGCCAATTTGTTGAAGAGTTATTCATTTTGTTTTTTCTTTTCTTATATTCAAGGTATTTATGTAAGTAGGTAAATGGAAGTATACATATACAGCATTTACTCAGTTTTGCTTTTCTGCCGCCAAGCGTTGCGTAGGCGCAGCATAAACGCACCTTTGTGATTCACGGTTATTCATCTCGGATATTAATTAATATATTTTATTACTCATTTGCTTTGTTATTGTTGGCACGACATTGAAATTTCTGCGTTGCTCGACGCACACATACAGATGTATGTATACAGAGGTGGCATGCAAATAGGATAAAACAATGTTAACGATCATTTCTGTTTTGTGTTAAAAATTAAATTTTTTATTTTCAGAAAAATTTAGAAATTTAAATTTGTTAAAAAAAACAATGAAGAACGAAGGTCAAAAAGAGGGTTACATATTTAAATACCACATTAATTGGATACATATACTTCCCTCACCTTAGCGTTTGCACGACATTTCGGAAATATTTTTCTAAAAAGAGTTGCCAGAGTATAGAAATGTATGAAAATCAAATAGCATAAACAACTGAAAAAATGTTACGCACTCCCACTTATGATGAGTGGCACTTAGTGACAGCGGCGGCGATGACGAGCATGAGAAAGTGCTGCTGCGATTCAGCTCATATTATTGTACGTATGTATATGTATGCGCATGCATATGCATATGTGTATCTGTGTATCTGTGACTGGTCATTAACAGTATTGATTAGGTTTACCAAAAATCAACGCTAAATATATAAGTACGTATGTATATATTTTAATTTTCTAAACACCAGCCAACATATTTTTCGCGAATATGTGTATACATACACACATGTATCGATTTACAACAGATATTCACACGTATTTATATATACATAAGTATGTATATCAACATGTCTGTGCGGATTCAAGATATTACTTGTTGTTCTTATAAAAGCATATCGCGTGAAATCACGTGACTACACATATTACGTAATATTCAATGTAAAAGGGTGAAAAAAACATGAATATGCACACAAATATGTACTCAGAAGATTTTTATTAGCTAAATTATTAGAATTACAATGACTATATATAATATATAACTGGCTATATATTTCTATAAGCAGCCGCTCTTTATATATTTCTATTTCTATTTAATTTGTGTCATCTATAAACATATATTTATGTATGTATTTGACTTGTGACATCATTCTAAGCCTTGCATCACCTTCCTTTTTACTTGCAGCTCACGCAAACGTCCACAGCCATACACACACGACTGCTTCAGCGGACAGTGCGGCGACAAGGAGGAAATGGAGGAGTGTCAAGCAGCGATGATTTTAATGAAACTCTCCCATTCGCCCAAAAATGCAGGTCAGCAGAAGCTTTATTGCAATCACCAAATCGTACAACTATTCCTTTTCTGTTACACACACTCTAACACGCACTTTACTTACGAGCTATTTGTTTTTCTTGTTTTTTTTTTATATTTGGCATACTTCAACAAACTTCAGAGAAATGGTATGGCTCCAGTCCGGGCAGTTCGTCGTCATCGGGCAGCTCGTGGAGTTCGGGCAGCTCATCGCCTCCGCTCAGCGACGATGGCCATGCCGGCCTCAATACGAGCGCCATGCTCAACGATCCGAGCACACGCATACGCACAACATCAGTATCCACCTCGGACGAGGGCATCGTCGTAGACTTCAAGGAGGAGGCGCCACGCAAAAAGAGGGTGAGTACAACATTGCCAAAATAACATTAGAAATACGCTTTCGGGCTCGGGCTCGGGCTCGGCCGCCTGCAATAGCATTTGTGGCAGGCAGTTAGACGCATGTGTCGAAAATTTCATTGTCGACCGCCGTCTGTTGACCCAAATTGCTTGCGATTTGATTGACTAGACCGTATTGCGTACGAAGCGCTTGTGTGTCAAAGTGCCAAATTTTTGCATGCGCCACTGCTCACACACACAAACTCGTGCAAACTTAGACATTTATGCTGTCGGCAAATTTTTTGTGGTGCAATTGGAGCATTTAATGACTAACAGACATATGTACGAGTATATGCCTTTTTCAAATGTGGCGCACATGAATTACCACATTTTCCTTGTGTCGTTATTTCTGATGCTGCTCTCGCTTTTACACAGCGATTAGGCAAGGTAAATGCATCAACTTTGATGGCCCACGTGATAATAAATCGTCTTTGGTGCGTGAGCATGAAGGCAATCGCTGCAACCAGCCGCCCTCCAAAGCACACAGGCACACTCACATAAATACTCGGGTATCGCTATTGCTCAATCATCAACTAATTAAAGCGTGCATTTAAAGTCGCAACTTTTGCAACCGCCAATGCGTATGAGCAACAACCAGGCCTTTGGCTGGCATCTGGCGCACTTACGTTGCGTATACGCCCATAGCGCCAGCCGAGCATGACATGCTCCCAAGGTGGCACACCAAGAGCACTACTGCAACTAATTGTTCATAATTTGGTGCACTGTTGTTGTTGTGATTGTTGCCGCCCTTCAAAGTGGCAGGTTTTATACGCCGCGAATGCGTAACATCCGCTATACGCAACACAGCACAGATTAGAGTGACCGAATTCACTGGTGAGACCGAAAGCAGTCGTAACGGTTTTCGGAAAATTTGAAGGTGAAAGTTACACATGAGAGGCGAATACTCTCGCATAAATGCTTGGAAGCTTTACAAGGCCAGAAAATTACTATATTTAACGTTCATTGCTTAGACCGTACTTAGCTAGAGTTGGAAAAAATAATTTTAGTGGTCAAATTAGTAGCTTTGAAGTGCCCTTTCTATGCTACGGAAGCTACTGGCTTGTGTCGAAGGTGGCTATGCGATAGTGAAAGAAGAAACAGCGCAGTCCCAAGAACTGGTTGGACTTCCAAATTACAGACTCATGTATATGTCTACATGTATACCAATGTATTTATGCCTGCTTAAGTGTTTATGTATGGCGATATGAGTTCGTGCGCCCTTGTGCATATTTACCTCATCCGGTTTGAGGCCCAACCCGACAAAGCATAATTCAGTTTTGCTTCCATACTTACATACATATGTACAAAAGCTGTGTTATAAGTAAATATGTATGTGTATACATGTCCCAAAAAGCACAAAAACAATGAGAAAATAATGTATGTATGCTTAAATAGATGTGCGTAACGTATCAAAAGTTCAAAAAATAATGCTGAAAATTTATTAATAAAAAATTAGATAAAATGCAAAAATTCAAAAAACTTCGGTCGCACCGAAGCTATAACACCATTCACAAATACCTAAGTTTCCTTACAAGAAATTGATTTTGATCTGTCAGTTTGTTTGGCAGCTATATGCTGTAGCAATCCGAACGGAACAATTTCTTTGGAGACTTGAAGACTGCATTTTTTCCTTAGACAATAACCCGTACCAAATATTGTGAATATATCTCCCCATATGGGAAGGTTTTCGATACAAATACTTGATTCCCATCGTTCATTTTGGATGCTATAGTGGTCCGATATGGGTAGTTCCTCCAAGCAGCTGCTTGAAAAGAAAATTGCGTGTGCGAATTTCATATGGATATCTCATAAACTGAGGAACTAGTTCGCATGTATACAGACAGACAGCCGGACTAACTTGACTAAGCTCGTCATGCTGATCATTTATACAGACGGATGTGTTGTATAGGGTGTTTCGACGTTTTCTTTTGGTGCTACAAACGTCGTGACAAACTTAATATACAAATACCTATGTGTGTATGTAAGTAGCTATCTTTATATACTTTCCGTTACAAGTGTCTACACATATATACATACATACATACTTACATTATTAAATAATCTAAATACATACATACTGTATTTGGCTCTTGCTAGCAATGTTTGCATTTGTTTCTTTTATTTTTTCTTGGCACGTGTATTTACTTAAAACTTAACAAACGCCAAACTACCAACAACAATTTCATTGTCACTAACACTAAATGAGCAGCCTTGAAAACTTATTTTTGTTGCTTTTTTCTTGGTAATTTTTATTACTCCATTTTTAATAGATTTTGTGAGTTTTTGTTTTTCCCTCAAATTTATCAATTCCACACTGTAAGTCACGTCCAATTACAGTTACTACAACTGCTTCTGTGTGCTTGTGTGTGTGTGTGTATTTGATAAGCCGAGCCATTTGTTTATACTCATATGGTTTGTTTCTCTTTCGTTTGCCTTTTGGCACTTTCCAGCTGCGTTTGCTTATTTATTTTGCTTAGAAACACGCTTCTATCAACTGGTAGTTGGCGAAGAAGCGATTCCACGAGACTTTTTTCGTCGAGCTTTAAATACTTTGCCAACAAGTTTCTTTGTGTCTTTGCTCTTCGTATAGGTGGATGTGTATATGTACATATATTTATATATATCAATATATGCGTTAATATGTAAAGGTAAATATTTGAAAGGTAAAAAACACTTCCCCTTTCCCTCTCACAATCAGTATAAGCACCTCCAGTTTTATCATTGATTGTCAAATGAAGTTGTATTTTATATAAATAAGTAGTATGTATGTAAATATTTAGTAAATATGCTTTACCTTTTCAGATGAGTAATATATTTAGCCATAAAAAATTAAAAAAAAAGCAATAATAAAATTAGCTGGATAATAATTAATAAAAATACATACAAATTATATTTCTTTTTATAACTAAATTGGAAAAGTATGCTATGATTCAATAATTATTTATTTTAAATGTACATATGTATGTACTTTTTAAAAATTAAAAAAATACTTCTTCAATATTGCATATTATTTATTATAAACCATTTAGGAGCATCTAAAAACAATATTAGTAATTTTTTTTATATTTTTTTTTTTATTATTTGTAAAATAATAATACAATTCTGTCTCTTATACACATCTAGATACCTTTAGTATCGTCAAAAAAGGTAATTTTTTCCAATTTTATTATAAAAAAATAAATTTTAAGATGTATTCATTACCCAGAAAAGTAATTTTAATATCACCAAAAAGTATACTATTTATAATTTTTTTTCAGTGCAATTTTCCAGCAGTTACAGCGCCAAGGTGGCTAGCTATGCCGCTCTAGGTCTAACAATTGAACTTTGTGGCCGCACACATGGGCATAAGAGCAGACTACGTCTATATGTATTTGTATAGTGATTAAGGTATATATACTTAGGGTTTTGTCAGCTAACCATATAGAATTGTGTACCCTAAGTATAGGCTAGTCAGCAAACAGTAATGTTACACAATAAAACTGGCTTTGCGTTTTGCTGTGAAAAGTCTACCTATTTAGACTCGAATCATACCATTAGTTTAGAAATTCGCAGCATTAATTACGAGCTTTTAGACACCGCAGCAAAATTGCATGCCATGTATGATATTCTCAGCTGAAGGAATATTTTTTCCTCCGGTATTTCTTAGGCTTACTATAATAATCCAAAGTCTCTAATACAATAAGTTCTATAAATATGTAACTGTCGATGTGTGTAAATGGTAACTAAAGTTTGAAGAAAAAAGTTTGCAAAGTGAAAACTTATTTTATAGACAGAAAAATAATTGCTTCTTGGTGATAGAAAATCGTTACAATGAAGTATATACTTTGTAGCTGAACCAGCAAATTTCATAAAATCACTTATTAAACTGTGAGAAGTCTTTCATTTGTCGTTACAGTGTTAGTTACCAATTAGTGGGCTTACTGTGACGTGTTATTTAAGAAAAACAAGGCCTATGCGCGCAATTAAACTTATATTTTTTGTATTACTATTTAGCATGTAGCTTTGCGCGTCGGAATCGTTAAAAAAGAGCGAGCGAGCGAGCGATTACTATTTGAAATGCAATAAAGCAACAACAGCAATAAAATTGCACAGCGGCACCTTTGATGCTTCAATGCGATCTGATTATGCAATTAACTTAAAAAGTGCAACAACAAAAAGAGCAAACATGATGAATGCCATGTATGAAAAATCCACTTTGAAAGCTTTAGAGCCATTGCGCTGTTGATCGCACGAAAGCGTTGTGGTGGCAATTTGTCAACTATGACTTGGACGCTTTCGTGGAATCGATTTCCATACACACATAAACAAAAAATTAGCGCGAATAAGTTAAAAGTAGTAATTTTCAAAAACAAAAAAAAGAAATAAGTGGCGATCCATTGCAGGTGCATGACTCTTGCTGCTTTAATGAATTTCTTTAATTTGGCTAGCTTGCCTTCCAGAGCAATTAGTGGCAGGCATATTTCGATTTTCCTGCTTTCATTGCAAGCCAATATGCTGAATCAATGTCTAAACACACCCACGATTACTTAAAAGAGTATTGAAGGCAAGAAGTTGCTCATACGCCACATGCGCTCTCAAGGGCTACCGATCTACTACTTGCGCGCCCTTACCGCTGCTCAGCGAAAAATTGAAGTATTGCCCAGTAAATGCAGCTGAAGTGTAGGAAGTGCTCGTTTGTTTCATGCGGTTAGCGCTGCATCCACCGCCCTCGCCATTGCCGGCCCGCCAGCCCAGCCAGCGAAATGTGTTGTTATGACATTTTAATACAATTCAGCTGTGGAAAAATATTTTTTCCTAACTGCGATGTTGCCTGGTGACTCATGTCCGTGCACAAGGCTTTGGCTTTGTTGTCACTACTGATGGGATGGTACGATTTCCGTTTAGCTTTCAGGCGTTTCGAGTGACTTGCAATTTGAATTTGCACGTGTGTTACGGGCGCATTGCATTTTTCACTTCTCAGCTGC